ATCTTTACTTCAAAAAATGGTTTGTCCTATCTTGAATATATTATGGGAATTCACATCAGATTGGACTATGCTGAGCTTTTTCAAAAAAGATGATCAATGATGGAAGCAAAACGATTTTTACTGCAGAAAGAAGAAGTGAAGACTGGACTTGTAGATCATACAGCAGTATGTTCTTTCCTGAAATATCCAGTATATCAAGGAGGCAAAAAGATCCTGATTCTGGACAGAGACAGTATTCTTCATCTCCTCCCTAGCCCCAGCTGTTGGGTACAAATTACATCACAAATACATGTTTGTTTTTTAAATCAGGAAACTGTTATTATTTTACACAAACTTTATTAAAAACAAGTCAGTGCATATGTAAATGTCTTTTTTCCCTAAAAGTAAAGAAACAACCAAGGAATGAACTGTACATTAAAATGTTTTTCATGAAAACTAACTTGCAATTTATTACTTTATATCCAGCTAAACTGGTTCAATTGTGGTGGGATATAAATGTAATAAATAAATTTAATCCTTTGCATATTTAAGCAAAACATAATCCCTATTAGGTTCTCAAGTTAAATGGATTTAATTTGGATTTCAACCCTGTGCCCTTCTGGCTGTGAATACCTACTGGATGGAGTAGATTTACTTCTGAGCACGTAGAATTGCATAACCATGAAATATCTATATTAATGTTAACTTTTATCAACCCAGTGAATAGAAAAAAACTATAGAATGTAGTCTAAGTGTGCAGCTTGAAATGCTTTTAGAGAATGCTCCATTGAGAAAAGTGGGATGTACTTCTAAACAATAGGACTGCATTATTAGGGAAGTGTAACTGAATGGTTAGTGGAGTAGAAAGTATGAAAGCCATGAAACTGATAGACTCCTCAGTATTATTAATGCACATTATGTAGATTAATTCAGCATTATTAATACATGTCATGTAGAAAAGCCAATATATTAAATTTTCATACTGATACGTGTTAGGGGTTTACTCTCCACACTAAAACAATATTCACTGAATAAGCTACAGCTGGCTGCTTCCAGAAATAAACTATGTCTAAACATGGTCTAAAACTGTAATGGCTTTGTTCATACAACTAAGCCAAAATGACTTAGTGTGATATGTAAATATGTGCATCCAGTCAGTGAATATTTAGAATACAAACCCATATTATGTAGTTGACATTTAAAAGCACCTCTAGAGAAGGCTTCTGGTGTATGGTCACTTATTTATAATGAGAACATGCCATACACCTTTATAAAGTCTCCTGTAAAAGTGTTTTAAAGGAGAAAAGAATATAAAAATTCCATAGTACCATTTAACTGGTAGTACTAGGGGCTCTGAAGGTATTCTAGAAATACCTTCAGAAAAGGCTCACTTTTAATTAATATATATATAAGCATATAGTATATGCTGCCTGACTCCCAATGATTCTGGTTTGATGGTTTTCAGAATTATACAGTACAGACTGAGAGGAAAACAACAGTAAGTATCTTTCCATCAACAAGCTGAAAACAGAAGTTTTTTAGACATGCACAATTATTTGGGATTAAATGTGTTCAAAGGTACATTTGAACAAGTGGGAAGAATATTGTATTTTGTTAAATTAATAGTATCCAAAGTTAAACGCAAAGTTAAAGTCTTAGGAGCAGTGCAGGAAATTAGTATAGCAATTGAATGCAGGAACCCTCAGAAGTTTTTGTTGTCTCTGGAGTTTGCTGCTACTGAACCTTTTTTGTGACACCTACAGCTTTAGGCCAGTGTTTGTCCTTTGATTAGCTTAATATTTATTCTGGTATATGTGAAATTTACATATGTAAATTTAATGTAGGGGAAAATTAATAAAACCCATCCCTATCAAAATTAAAACAGCAAAATGTTTTGTAATGAATTTGAACTTTGCTAATGTAATTAAGAATTAAGATTTACACGGAGACAAGGCAAATAATAAGCCCAATAATTCTAGATTTATAAAGAAATAAACATCAGCATTATCAAGAACAATGAGTGACGTTGTAGCAGAAGAAAACTGGGAACTCAGTTTTAGTAAAGTTAAAAGTAAAGTCTCCTGAACGGTTGATGATTTTACTGATATATCTTTAGCTTTCATGGCAATAACATAGAAAACATTTTCCACAGTATTTCTTTTTAACCTTATGGCCTAGTTTACAGTTCTGGTATATCTTGGTGGCCTTATACAAGTACTAACTGGGTATGATCTACCTTAGCTTTTCCATGTCAGCCAAGGTGGGCTAGGAACTGACACCTAATTGGGTTTAATATATATTAGGTTAGGAAATGAGCATTTAAATGATGATAGTCTGAAGAAAAAGTAAAAAGCTGCCTCTTTGTTCCAAGATGAGTTTCAGATTTGGAACCAGTTTTAATGGTGAGAAAAGCAGTTATGGGACATAAAAAGAGAAACTCTGTTTTCTTGTATGTTTGTCCAGAACCTATTGAGGTGAGGTTTGGGTTCCAAATAGTATATTTTAAAATCCCAGTACGCAACATTAAATGACAGTAGGGTTTGGGGATCAAAATGGCCAACCATTTACAGCAGTGGTAGGATGCCTTTTTTTGATGCTGTTTTACATTTTTCAAAGATTATGAAATAAGTCACAAATACATTTCATGAAAATGTATTCTTTCTTCTCAGATAACCATAGCACTTGAAGTCCCATCAAAATTCTGTGTATAATATTTGCTTCAAAATACAGACACAGAACTATTACTTGTTTGAGTCATCAAGAGATAACCAGCTACCCCACTGGACACTAGTGTTACATCTCAGATATTTCAGCCATTTTTACTTTCTTCTATTGAATTAAACCAATACAAGCAAGCAAACTAATCATAACATAATTTTAAAAAAGCTAAGGCCTTTTTGTCTAGTTTGTGTGAGTGGGAATGGTTCACTGATTTATTAAGCTAGAAAGCATAAATTTGGAGGGATATAAAATTAGTCACGTCACTGTGTTTCCTGCGTTATGATTCTATAACCTAGGATAGAATTTTCATTACTAATAAAAAAAAATAGAATAAATCCAAAATACATACAAAGGCAACATTTTTATAAAGCCTAATCAAAGGTTGTTAAATAAGTGCAAACTTTTGAGTTCTTCAGAAATAAGCAAGATGGTAAGTGGAGCAAAAAAATGTATCCAAAGGTAGAAAAAGTGGCTGATCTTAGATTACAAAATCACAGTTGAAAGCTGAACTAAGGGAAAAAGTTGTAGACAGCAAGAATAAGCTTTAGCAGGTGCTGTGATGGTGTCAGATTTCATA